GGTATCTTCTGGACAGGCCCCAGCTGGTTAGTATCCCTCTATGAGGGAGGTCATAAGAATAAGTCAGAGTGCTTCAGGTGAAGTATGGCCCAAACTATGTAAAATATCATTTCTACAATTCTAGTTAGAATCCTAGAGACTTTTTACCTCAAGCAAAATCTGTTTCTCCTTTGGGTGTAAGCTAATTTTTGAACTGTGGACATAGTCAGTGTATGTCAGTGCTGCCTCTTTTTTTCTTTTTAAAGGGTGTTAATGAAGTGAATTTAAAGAAATGGTGTTTTGGAAACAGTTACACCCGGTGAGGTTCGATCAAGTGTACTGTAGCTGAGTGAATGTCGAACACGATAGTTGGGGCAGGAGGAAAGTAAAAGAAAATAAAGGAAATAACTAGGGGGCAAAAGACATTAATAGAGGTATAAACATAGGCATGCACATAGGTAAATATATTAATATATAATAGACCTATGTACATATATTGATAGGTTAAGTATTAAGATAGCAGACAGATATTGGGCCTCTACTCAAGTCCTCCCTCAATGCAAGAACACTTTGTTCTAATAACCTGGCATTCTGTGTTACTCACCTTTCTGACACAATCCCTGATGGGTGCATAAACTAAGGTGGTGAAGAAAGCTGATGGTGCCTGGCTATTAAAAGACAGAGTGTCTGGGGTCTTAAAAGCTTGAAGCTAAATAAGCAGCCGTCTAGCAGGGAAGCAACAAAGCCCACATGGAAGAAGCACACCAAACTATGTGATCATGAGGTGTCAATGTGGTCAGGAATCAGGCATCAGAAGACCAAAAACAAATAACCATTTGGATACAAACAAGGAGGGTCGGAGTGGAGACCCAAAGCCCATCTGTAGACAATTGGTCATCGCCTCACAAAAGAGTCACAAGGAAGAGACGAGCAGCCAATGTGACAAAACACAACATTCCTCTAATTCTTTAATGCTTCCTCCCCACCCATTATCATGACCCCAGTTCTACCTTACAAATCCTACTAGACCAGAGCATGTACACTGGTATAGATACGAGTTCCTGACACATGGAATCCAGGACAGATAAACCCCTCAGGACCAATAATGAGAATAGTGATACCATGAGGATAGAGGGAGAGTGGGGAGAAAGGAGGAACCAATTGCAATGATAGATGCATAACCCCCCTCTCCCCAGGAGGATGAACAACAGAAACATGGGTGAAGGGATACAGCAGGTGGTATAAAATATAAAAATAATCTATAAATTACAAGGATTCATCAGAGAAGGAGGGGGGAAAAGAGGAGCTGATACCAAGGGCTCAAGTAGAAAGAAAATGTTTTGGAAATGATGATGGCAATCTATGTACAAATGTGCTTGATACAATTGATGTATGGATTGTTATAAGAGGTGTAAGAGCCCCCGATAAAATGATTTATTAAAATTTAAAAAGTAAAACATCCCTGGGAGATTATCTGTTCCCTGGTCACCTACCATGTGACCCACAGTGTCACATCCTGTGGTCAGGTTGCCTCTATTCATGCGGACGCCCTCACCGGACAGAGGCGGTGACAGCTTCCCAGTCATTGCTAGCGAGTGGGCTGCACTCTTCATCTTCGACTTAGCAAATGATTGTTGTGCATCACTGAAGTAGATGGGAGTCACTGTAGCATAATGGTTCACGTCATGTCGATTCTAGAGCCAGTGGGCCTGGATGCCAATCTTGCCTCTACCAAGTCTCTGCCAGTTACCAGCTGTGGGATGTTGGACAAGTTGATATTTCTCTATTTGCCTCGGTCTCTTCATTTAGAAAATCAGAGTAACTGGTACCTTCTTCTTAGGGTTGCTATGAGTTAACTTAGTAATAATTTATAAAATGCTTTTAACAGTCTGTGACAGGAAGTACTTCTATTACTAATACTATTTAATTGTTATTTTGGGGGCTCTTGTGAAAGGCCTTGGTCTGAGAAGCTTGAGGAGAAAGTTGTCCAGACTGAGGCTGCTGCTGGAACCACTTCATTAGTGCACCTTGGTCAGACTTGTTTGCAGGCGCCCTTCCTGGAGCGTGTCCTCTGTCGTTGTCTTCATCCCTAACTTGGTTCCCCTTGAACGCCCTCTCTCTCTCTTTCCCTTTTTCTTTTCTATAATTAAGAGCCAGTTTGGCCCTTGAGTATTATCTTAAAAGAAGGAAAGAATGAAGAGTCACCATAGGAGCTTGTGGCATAAGTTAAATTTTATATTTCAAAGCAACAAGCTTACAAAAAGTTGACATTGTACATTTTCATGTTCTATAACAGGGTGCTTCCCTACAATTAGTTCTGTTGGGTTTGGATGTCTTGTTACATAATGGTAAAGAGCTTTGGCAGTTTCTCATGATGACAGCCCTTGCTCCTATTGTGATGTAGCTTGATTACCTTCATCCCCTTTTCTTAGTACACCAGAATGTCCTTCTGTAAAACCACTAGCACTTCTAGCTTGCTGAAGCTCACATACTCAGTTAAGGAGAACAGAGGAGTAGAGAAGGAGCTATAACTCTGACTTTGCACAGAGACCGACTGGAAGAGCTGTCTTATTTTGAAACTACTAAAGGATAACAAGGGCCTTTTTGTTGTTTTATCATTTTATTGGGGGCTCCTACAACTCTTATCACAATCCATACATATGTCCTTTGTGTCAACCACATTTGTTGCCCTCATCATTCTCAAAACATT